TACCCATCAGTCTACCCAGCCAGCCAGCTACCCATCAGTCTACCCAGCCAGCCAGCTACCCATCAGTCTACACACCCCTTGGTTACTGTGTAAAGAATGACCCCTGTCAAGGATGGTAGGAAGGCAGACAACAAGAGACTGCCGTAGTAGGAGCTCATAGTGGCTTAGTGAGTGACCGACAAGACGGGAAAGGAGAACATAAAGATGACAGGGCTAAGGACACTGTCAGGAACAGGCTGGGGAGGGACACCAAGTTGTCCTTGGGGAACTTCCAAGGGATTCCCCTAAAGCAGACAGGTGAATTTAAGGGGACTTTCTGGGAGCTAGTTGGGACAAACAGGTGGTGGGTAAGGTCCAGCAAATGTGGCTAGACAGAAGGTTAGAGACTGTACTGCCTCCCTACTTAGATGCCTGTGACTGAGTGGCTATCGTGCAGAGCCTCCTCTAAAGACACAACTCTGAGACCACCTGGGCTTGAAAGTGTCCCTGATGCCCTTCCCCCACTCTCTACACACAGACTTCAGGACCCCAACACCAGCACCCTGCCCCGCTTCAGCCCACATTGCCAACGCCCGTTACTGGGTTGTTTTCAAGCCTGGCTTACTGAATGCATACCCAGAAGGTAGTCAGCTAGAAGCAGGCCAGGACACACTTTCCTTTCTTGCATTCACAACAGAGACAGGTAGTCTCTCCTCAGTCAGCAAGGGGTAGGAGGTGGGAGGGGGAGGGGGCTGGTGACTTTGTTTCTGCATACAGAGCTGATAGGGTCCTGATACCGTGTGAACCATCAAGGCCACCTACCGTGGAGACTGCTTTCTCATTCTGGATCTCGTTGGTGGTCTCTTCTGCAGCATGGTCAGCCCCTGGGCTGCAGCTTGGCTCCAGAGGCGCCTCCTCCTTTTGCTTTGTATCCAGCTCCGGGACAGTGGTACCTTCTGCTTTTCCAGAAGAAGTTTGGGGAGCTTTCTCCCTGACCTCTCCCTCCTCGGGTATATTTGCATCTGGGCTTTTCTGTCCGAGCCTGTCTTCTTCATCATCTACCCTCTCCTCAGAGGCCATCCCTTCAGTGGCCTTCCCAGTGTCTGTATGCTCTCCGGGGGTGGTGTCTTCCCGTGGGCTTCCACACCCACTCTCAGCCTCTGGGCTGCTGGTTTGCAATGGCTCCTGGACCTCTGGATGGCCCTGACTAGCTGTATCTGGATTCTGTCCAGCCTTCTCTCCAGCTTTTGCCTCCTCTGAGGTCCCGACAAGCTCCTCTGGCTTCCCTATGCTGTTGTACGTGTTCCTTTCCCGTGGCTTTTCTGCAGACCGCGGGGTTCCCTCTACACCGTCTCCCATGGCCTCCTGGTTGGGTTGGGGAGACCCGGGGTCCTTGCTCTTGTTAGGAAACACATCGTCCCCATTTTCTTCCCTGGCACCGTTTTCCTGAGATGGCTCCACACCCCTGTAATCTCTAAGGTCCCCACAGTCCGACTGAGACCTTCGGAATCGTCTTGAGGGGGGACGTCTTTTTATTGAGCCTCTAGTCCGCACCTGGAAGAAAATATGAAAAAATTAAAAAGGCCAAGAGGAGGACTATGCACGCTGGAAAAAAAAACACCTCCCCCCAAAAGACAACCAACCACCAACAACAACCAACCCACTACAGGCTTGTTTAGTTTCCTAGGAGGATGTAAAGTTCTTTGCTGTTCATTATAAATCAGAATCTAGGGCAGTGGTTCTCAACCTGAGGGTCACAACCCCCACAGGGATTGCATATCAGATATTTACAGTGTGATTCCTAACAGTAGTAAATTTGAGGTTATGAAGCAGCAACAAAATAGTGTTACGGTTGGGGGGTCACCAACTGTATTGAAGGGTCACTGCCTTAGGAAGGTTGAGAACCTCATTAGAGAGGTTTGTAGAACTACTTGGTGAGCTGCAGATTTTTGTCTCAGAAAGATGGAAATGCTCTCCTTCTGTCGACAAAGTGCGGAGACAGTTCAGTGAGCAAAGTGTTTGCTGAGCAAGAATGAGCATCTGAGTTTGGGTCATCGGCACCCATGTGAAAAACAAGGAAGGCAACCTTTGCGAGTGCGCATCCCTGCAGCTGGCATTTTGAGACAGCAGATTCTTGTAGCTGGCAGGCAGGCAGTTTAGTCAATGGTCATCTCCAGGTTCTATGAGAATGGCCCCCAAACACTGCAGGTAATGTCTTTTTACAATAGTCTAAAGTTTGAACACACAGTATAAAGTTTCCTCGGCACAGCACAGTACAGGGGAGCAGTAACTTACCTTATTATAAGAGGGCAGGTGAGTTCCTTCCGGAGGCTGGTCAAAACTCACAGGCACCTCTTCTGCCTCGCCTGAGTGAGATCGGATACCAGGGCTACTGGGTGTGGAAGGGGGACTGTGAAATGGTGACACAATGGCCTTGAGTCCAGGACTTTTGGGTGAAGCCCCAGGCAGGAGAGCTGCCGGGTCAAAGGCTAAGTTGGCCTGTGGAGAAAGGGGAGACGATGAGGGCTTCCGCTGTGTGAGGTCACTGGCTTCACCGCTGCTTGAGGATAGTTAACAGGAAGCTTTGTGTGCATCTCCCCAACCAATTATCCGCTGTCCCTTATCTATGGCTGTTCTGGAAGCATGGCCTACCCATACCCACTACCTGGCTCACAGTAGGCTGCCTTCTTGGATGCTCAGGTCCTGATGAAATGTATTCAATATAGACACTCCCCAACAAGAGTGGAACAGCCCTGGCCTGGCATAGTGGTGTATGCCTTTAATCCCAGCACTCAGAAGGCAGAGGCAGGCAGATCTCTATGAGTTCAGTCTGGGAGGTTTAGGCCAGCTGGGGCTACAGAGTAAGCCCCTATTTGATGATGATGATGATGATGATGATGATGATGATGGTGGTGGTGGTGGTGGCGATGACAGAGGAGGAGGAAGAGGAAGAAGAGGAGGAAGAGGAGTGGAACAGCTCCAAGTAGTGTTCACAGTAGTCCAACGAGTAATTGTTGGCAGTACCTTCAACTCCCAGGTTCCTTTTTTGTTTGTTTATTTGTTTGTTTCTTGGGACAGGGTTTCTCTATGTAGCCCTGGCTATCCTAGAACTTGATCTATCAACCAGGCTGGCCTCCAACTCACAGAGATCCGCCTGTCTCTTCCTTCCGAGTGCTGAGATCAAAAGCACGTGCCCCCACCTCCCGGTAGCTCTCAGGCTCTTGCGGTAGTTGGCACCCATGTCATCTTGCCGTTAGCCAGTAGCATTTGCTGCTTGTCAGTATCTGCTGTGTGCAGCTATTGCCTCTACAGCGACTGTACATGGCTAGTGTGGGTTTCCTGGCACACACTAGGAAGGTGGCTTAAATTGCCTGAGGCTTATGGCAGGTCCGCTTGTCCCTCGAGCCTCCAGGTAGAGTTCTGTCTTTGGAGACAGCACAGGGGTATATATGGCAGTCTTCAGGGTGTTTGCCCTCCAGTCAGCACAATACAGGTGAAACCGGATGAACATGGATATGAAGGGGAACCAAAGACCAAAGGAAGAGTCACTCGAAGGTAACTAAAGCCTAAGAAACCTACAGATTTGGAGGGGGGAACAGATGGGAGCCCCCAATCAACCTTACAGATAACAGAGCAGGAAGAAGGTTAAGGAGGGATTATGTATGAACAGCCCAGACAGGGTCTCACGGAGCCCAGGTTGGCCTTCAACTCACTATGTAACCGGGAATGACTAAACTTCTGAGGCTCCTTCATCTACCTTTAGAGTGCTGGGACTGCAGGCTTGTTCCACCATGCTCAAGTTTTTTCAAGTGCTAGGAATTGAACTTTGAATTGAATTGGGTTTTCTGCACACTAAGCAAGCACTCTGGCCACTACAGCACCAGTCCACAGAGTTTTAGCGCCATCTAGGGGCACACCTCTTGCTCCTGCTCTCTGTAATTCCAAACCCGCACAGTTGAATCTTCCTGATCTAACTGGGCAGGTCAGATGTAGGACCTCCCAGAAAAGGGACCAGGCAAGAGAGGCAGATGGAGTGACAGAAAGTCCCACACACCCAACTCCAGATACAGGATCTTTCTCTTAATAGCTGTCGTATGATCTTTAGCAGATCGAAATACCCTTTCTGAATCTCAGGTCTTCTGTTTGTTCCAACGTTTAGCCTGACCTCCACAGTCTTTTACAGATGATTTCTGGTTACTCTCATGCATTGCTTGGCTAATACCTCATACTCACAATGTCTCCCCCAGTACTCCCCTCAGGCCAGGCTGATGACCTTGAGAATCCCCGAAGGTTGATAGCACCCCAGACCACAAAGCATGATGTTTAGGAAGGTAGTCATTATTTAATGTGGTCTTAAGGACAAATGTACAAAACAAACAAGACTGGATCATGAGAAGAGTTAAATATAGAAAATGCACAAGCCGAGAAGCAGCACTGTTAGCCCAGGCTATGTTTTTTGTTTTTAAGTGGCATACGATGACAGGAGGGAAGGGGAAGGACTGCACACATCACAGGAGTGTGTGTGAGGCAAGATACAGTCTGCACTTACCTGAAGCTTCTCAATCAGAGGCGAGCTCTTCACCTTGATTTTAGGTGGGTGACTGGTGTTGGATGGTGATTTCTACAGGACAGACAGATCAAAACAACCAAGTGAGTCAGAGAGAGGAGGGAGGATGGGTTATTAAGCCATCACCGCTTTGGTGCTGTGCTACTTACCTCAGGCCTGGAAGAGACAGGCTTTCTGTTCATTCCCACCCCCTCACCTCACCACAAGTAAGACCACTCGAGTTTGAACCGAGAAGTCAGGGCAGGCATTCATATCACAGGAACCCTCCCATCCCAGGAAGAATGACTTCATTGTCATTAGGAGGAAAGCCTACATCTGTGGGGATCAAGGCCTTCACCTCACGGCCTTCTGCAAGGCAAGTCAACAATTGGAGGGAATTTCACAGACCAAAGGCAAAACGGTCATTCACTCTCTTGTCACAAACAAAACAATAAATCAGAGGCTGGGAATGAAGTCAGACAGAGGTATTATTAAAACCCCACCATTGGATTAATATTTTGGAAAATTCCACCAACAGCATGGTTCATATGCCAGAATTTCCCTAAACACAGAATACTCATTCAAACAGGCAGATGTACGTGCTAAATATCTCCGGTCCCACCATGTATTGTGTTAGTTATATGAAAATGAGGGTGATTTAGTCTCTTCTCATAACAGTCAGAGGCTGCTATCTCTACCATAAATACTCTGCTAATTACTTTTGTGATCGGTGTACACCAGGAATCATTCCTGTCTCCATAATTACATACTTATAAAAAGACTGGCTCCTTGTTTTATTCTAAATTCCCTCTACTATGCAAGAATGACAACAGCTGTATGGTGGTTACATGACAGTAAAGAAACAGAAGATGCCTTTCACGTTGATAGATAAAAACCAAGCACAGGAAGGATTTCTTCAATAGTTTGGGCCCCACCCACCCCTGTTTCCACAGATGAGTGTATGGGAGCCGTAAGAAGATAAACACTGCTGATCTCTGGGTAATGTTCTGGGACATCTGGTTATATTATGGTTGGAGAAGAAGAGAGACCGACTCGACTGATCCTCCGTTGCCTTCTCGGCTGCCGGTGTCGAGGGAGAGCATGCTGCAGTGGGGCAGTCAATGACTGGAATGCAGAGACCAGCCTCCTTCTGATTCCAACTTTGGTGACCAGACAGATGCCTGTCCTGACAAGATGTGGTGGCTAAGGCAAAGGATGCTGAGGGCTTCCCTTGAAGCTCTAGGTTGCCTCTGCCACTGTGAGTCTCCATCGGCAGACACATTACTGAGGCAGCCAATCATGGAGCTGTTTGTCTCTAGTGAGTGTCAAGATCCTTTTGTACCAACTGGGAGGTTCTTAGTTTCTGGGCTTCACTAAGGAATTAGGCTTGGGAACTTATAGTTTCATAAACTACAGCAAACATTTTGCTACCAAAGCTCATTTTAGGTAATATTATAAACTCTTCAAACTGCTTTTGAAGACAGTGGAAATTCGACAAACAGGATCTCTTAACTTTAGTGCTAGAGACCTAGCCGATGTCGGACTGCGGATGTCGGACTTTGTTTGACTACAAAGCAGAATGAATTCTGTACTACCGTTAATGCAGTTCACACCATGGGCAGCAGATGGCAGCATTTAGTTTATAATTTAACCACAGGCGCCTGGCCAGTGATGGGACAGTGGAGATAAACCAGCTTGGTATTCATACATTTTATGTTTATTGTACTGCTACAATATCCCAATAATGTATTATGATGTCTATAAGTTGTTGACCTGATACTTTCAGATGGAGAGGTATTCATGTCCTACCAACACCCTGTCATCTGGTTCTCCCAGGAAAGGTAACTTATCACTTTGCCTGTAGTCAGTAGGAGAAATTCTGGGGGCTGACCCCACATCTAGAAGGTATAGGAGTGCCAGCCATCCTACTCATCCCTGTGCATAAGCAACATGCCGGAGGGATGTTAGTGCTCCTGCAGGCTGTACGCACGACAGAGGCCTGTAACACCTCCATTCCGCCCTGCCAGGTGAACTGCGCCCTCTCTCTCTGACAGAGGTCTCATTGTGACATCCTGGCCTGGAGCTTGTTATACAGATCAGTACGATCTTGAATTAGCAATTCTTTTGTGACACTCTGTGAAGTGCTGGGATCACTGCTGTGTTCCGTGGTACCCTACTCTGTAAATTTCAAGGAAAAAAGAAAGTCACTGACCCTGGGGGGCAATGTTGTCATGAAGATGTAGTATATCTCACTCTAGATGATTTTCAATCTAACCCCTTGGCTGTTACTCGTTACTTGTTACTTTTCAAGGAAAGCTCTGACTTTATATTCTCATAAAGTCCATGGAATGAAGCTGTATAATCCAGTCACTACAGACCCGACCCACTCCATCTGCTTTTATTCCCATGAGCAAAGCTTCTCCATCCAGTCCCCACTCTCTCTCTCTACTGATGTTCTGGTCCTCTTTTTTACAAATAAGGAATTAGTGTGGAGCAATGAATCCTCTTGGGGCAAGCCTAGGTTATCAGGGGACAGCTCCGATGGCCACAGCCACAACCCATTGTACCACAGCAGAGATGCCAAGCTCAGCAGGGAAGAGCTTACAAGGAGAAGTTGACCCTCTGTAAAAGAGAAGTTGCTGGTTGTAGCCTTGGCTGGGAATCCCACGAAGCCACTCCATCATGGTGTCAGCACTTGAGGGGACCCAGCAAAAACACAGAGTTCCTTGAACTCAGCTCTTGAGATTTCTCACCTCACGAGACTACCCTTGTTCAGTGGAGGGGAGTTATTCCCAGAACAGGTGGACCCAGGACTCTGTACCTACTTGACGGAGGGTAGCTATGAGTTCTTGACCCTTTAAATGTTTTAGAATTTATTTTTAACTGAAAAAATTTTTTATGCATACAGATGCCTTGCCTGTATGTAACTGTGCACCATGGGTATCTTGGTTCCCAGAGAGGTTAAAGGAAGACATCAGATCCCCTGGCACTGGAGTAACAGATGGTTGTGAACCATCATGTGGGTACTGGGAATTGAACCCAGGTCTGCTGAAACAACAGCCAGTGCTCTTAACCACTGAGACATATTCCAAACACCAAATTCATTGCTCTTTAATGGCACTTATCTATTATTAATTTGTTTGTTTGTTTAGTGTGTGTGTGTGTTGCACATGTGTCACTGCATGTGTGTAGAGATCAGAGAACAACTTGAGAGTGGGTCCTTTCCTTTTACCATGTGGTTACTAAGGACGGAATTCAGGTCATTGCCTTTACCAGCTGAGCCATCTTGCTGACCCAGGTTCTCTGGTTTTTGATGCACTTCTGCTTGTGAGCCTTGGGCTGACGAAAGGTTTGAAAAATATTCATCTACATCAACCGTTTCACTTTGTAGGGGACAAAATGTCCTAAGTTCACAGGGGGGTTTGGTGTCTTTTATCAGGATGCTGGTCCCTGGAAAGAAGGGAAGGGAAAAAGAAGGGGTTGAGGTGGGATTTGGGAGCTGAGCTGTTTGGGTTGCTTGCTCTATTTTGGGTTTGGCCTCTCCGGCCTGAAGACAACATGCAAATTGGTTTCTGGCAGGACCACGACCGTGACCACAGCGAAGGTTCACGGGCTGCTGGGTTGGGGCCTGCAGCAGCCACTCTAACAGCTACAATTAGATAAATAAGTCTGGGCAGCATGAAGGCTGGGACTCTATTACTGGCTATGATCTATAACAGCAGAGCCTTCATTATGTTGGCAGCACTGGCTATTTATATCCAAGAGCCAGGAGGCCTCCTGTGTGCTCTGGTTTTCTTCCAGAGATCCAGAACAATGGCCAGCCTTTTCAAAGGATATGGAGAGGCCGTGAACTTCTCTTGTACTGTAGCTCTGCCTCTGAGGGCATAGCTTCTCTCCTTGAGGACCCTTCTACACCTCTTCTTACACCCTTAGACTTGGGGACTGAAAAATGGATCTGGTCCTTGACCGATCTTTAAGAAGGCTTAAAGGAAAGCTAGTCTCCACAGTAAAAGATGCAGGGGGTATTAAGAGAGATTCATTCTTGTACCCTAGGTGAAGCGACCCCTTGTGGAGGCCTAAAACTGTGATGCATGTAACTCTTTCCTGCAAGAAGGATGAAACCCCACAGGCGGCAGCTGAGCACCCAGGGCGGCACTTACCTCCTCACCGTTCTGGCCCAGCTCTACCTTGGGGGGGAACAGGGGGAGGGAGCAGGGCGGTTTCCTTCTTGTTGGCTTACTGGCTGGTGTCTAGAGGGAGAGTGACAGACGACACAGAGAGAAAAAGAGAGGCGGTGAATCAGGCGATAGGGAGGAGGAGGAAGGCTCAGAAACCAGTGTTAGGAGTGGTTAGGGATGTCTAGAGGAGGAAAGAATGGAGGGACCTGACTGTCTGAGGGGCTGTCCTTCCGCTGTGCATCGGCAACCTGGGATCCCCTCTCCTGTCTGTTCAGCAATACCGTCCTCTTGTACTCGAGCCCCAAGTCTGAGCCAAGCTTGCCAAATGACTTTCAAATTTTGCCTTTTGGCTGAGAAGCAGAACTAGACCCTTAGATCAATGCCATCTCTTTTGTCCTTTAGAGCATTCCTCTCTAGACATCATGGGTCACTTTTAAAACACAAGTGCAAAATCACGTACCTAAAAGAACAAGTCCTCATGGAACTGAAGGTGATCTTGAACTAACTAACTAATTAACTAACTAACTAATTAATAACTAACTCTCTCTGTCTCTCCTCTCTTTTTTTGTTGTTGTTTTGTTTGTTTGTTTTCTTTTTTTGTTTGTTTGTTTGTTTTTTGAGACAGGGTTCTCTGTAGCCCTGGTTATCCTGGAACTCACTCTGTAGACCAGACCTCCAATCAGAGATCCTCCTGCCTCTGCCTCCTAAGTGCTGGGATTAGAGCTGTGTCTCATCCATCTCTGGCTGAACTTGAACTCTTGGTTCTTCTTCCTTTAACACTAGTGTGCACCTGCTCCCCTCAGCCTGCTTCTAATGGAAGCCACCCACTACATGTCACAATCCAGTACAACTGTCCAAAAGCATGACACTTTAAACAACAACAACAACATTTTCTTCAGCAGGATCCTTCTAGAATCGCCTAGTCCTGGGTCCCTTCCCCCCCACCACATTCCTGTTTTTTTTTTTTTTAATGGAATGTGTTTCCTTCCAAATTCTCAGTTCCAGATCTAATGTGGGTCTTGCCACTCTCCTGCTTCCTAGGCTAGAAGCAGAAGCTGGGTGTGTGGGGACTTCTTTACTGTGAACCAGTCCAGGCTGGGGAAAGGGGAACACTGCCCATCTGTATCAGTGGAAGATCAAGACGAAAGGGAATCCACACTGTCTGGCTGTCACTCGTCGCCACAGTGGGAGCCTCACTCCAGGAGGGAAAGACTCTGCCTAAGCTACAGCAAATTCTCCACATTCAGAGGGACCCTCTCTGGCTTCTCTTCCTAATTTGGTAATTGCCAAGGCTCCCTCAGCCCTCTTTCTCCTCAGGGACTGAGAGGCTTCTCTTTCCTCCAGTCCTCTCCCTGAAGAGGATGCACCAAGCACCCAGACTCACCTCCCTGGCCACAGCTGCTTGCTCCCGAAACAGCCCAGCCAGCTGGGCCACCGAAGGCTGCGCTGAGCTGTCAACATTGGAGTTGGTCTCTGAGGGTCTTTCCTGGCAAACAAAGGAGACATAAATGGTAATCAGGCAGGTCACATGGGGTGCTAGGAAAGGCACCTGTTTTGTGGTCCCAGGAATTCTATGACGAGATATTTTTAACAGTATTTTGCAACTAGCTTCCATATTCAAGATTAAAAACAACTACTATTTCTTCTTCTTCTTCTTCTCACACACACACACACACACACAAACACACACACACACACACAAATTATTCAGTCACCCACATTTAGTGAGTAGCTACAATGTATTGGGGTTCTGAGTGTACCCAAGGAGACAAATAAAACATGGGCTTGTCCTAGACAGGAACTGAGGGATGACTGGAGGCAGTCAGGACAAGGTCTCTCACTCTGCAAAGACCCCTTAGACATGGGAAGTATCAACAATAGCTTGCAAACCCCCTTCCTGCTTAATGACTCTGAAAAATGGGGATGCAGTGGGGATGCAAAATGCCGTCAGAGTCAGGGTCTTTGTAGGAAACGGAGAGGGCATTTGCTCTTTCTAGAATTTTCCCATCCAAATGTATGTGATTTTGTTTTCGCTACTTAACCGACTGCCTTGGGCAATAGTGACCATTTATTACATTAGTGAATGACTGGGAGGCCGTAGCACACAGGATGAAGAGTGGACTGCTGGGACCCACCAGAGACTCATTCTACCTTTCATTTCTTCAGCAGTCTGAGCCTTGGCAGGGAGATGCCAGTGTCTCTCCTTAGGGTGATCTGAGTTTGGTGACTGACTATATTATAATGGCAGGGCAGGTGCAAGGAGCAGGGTTGCTGTCCTGTCTTGATGATTGGCTGTGGTCCAGCCTCCAGTTCTGGTCAATAAACTTATTGATGCTTCAGGCCAAGATGCTTGAAGGATGTAGTCTATCCCATGTGTCACTTGTCACTGTGACACAGAGGGTATCAGGGTCTCTCTCTGTCTCTTTCTCTCTCTCTCTGTGTCTGTCTCTCCCTCTCTCTGTCTCTCTTTCTCTCTGTCCCTCTCTTTGATGCAGGGTCTTGTTCTGTAAACTAAGCTGACCTTGAACTTATGACCCTCCTTCCTTTCCTTCCTCAAGTGTTAGGATTTTAGGTGTGTACCACCATACCCAGATTCTTCTGGGTTTTTATTATTATTTTTACATTTAAAATGTGTGTGTGTGTGTGTGTATCTGTGTGTGTTTGTGTGGGCCAGAGAACAACTTGTAGACCTGGACCCACAGGCAGTCATAATAACTACCCTGTTCCTTCTCCACTTCCACACCCCATCCCCACTCCCCACTTCCTAACCCCGCTGCCATTTGGTCTGAGTTTTGTCAGTCATCAGACTCAGAACGGCCTAATGAGAGACACATCAGCACTGCCTACTGCTGAAGCAATGAGAGAGGAGGAGTGAGTCTCTGGTTGAGTCCCAGCGGCCCCCTTCTCATCCTGTTCGCTACTTGCAGGAGTCAGGTCTTCCACCAGTGGATTACAGGAATTGAACTCTGGTCATCAGACTTGGTAGCAATCACCTTTACCTGCTGAGCCATCTTGCAGGCCCCTCTTCTTGGTCTTATGTATTCAGTTCTGGAGCTATTTGGCTTCTGCTTTTTTGTCACTTTTTTTCTAATGTGATTTTTTTTATTAAAAAAAACATAGAGAACTTTATCACATTCCCTCTGTTCTGGGTGGGGCTGCTGCCCTTGAGCAGCAGTTTAAGAAGTCCCTGTTTGCCTCTGCATGGGTTTCATGCCCTGCTTCAGCAGTAAGTGTGCATCTCTGTACCACATGTCCCCTGTGTGCAGACATATCCACGGCCCTCCTTCGGGTACTAAAAGTGTCTCTGAGTTTCTTGATTTGGCCCCTGCCATCTCCTGGCAACCAAGTGGAGAGCACACAGCTGGTTGGAAAGGAAATTTGTGCAGAGGCAGGCAAGACTGGACGGAGCCTCAGGCTGGATGTGAAAGGCAGCTCTGGGGCCACCTTGTTCCTGTCAACTGTGTTCCTCAGGTTCATGCCCACTCCAGTCTAAACACCAAGGTTGATTTCAAGGAGGATTCCAAATGATTCGCCTCTATTCAAGATGCCAGATGTCTCCCACTTATCAGGGAAGGCACTGGAAACCGGATGCTCCATCCCAAGAGGCTGCTGAATGGGCTCAGGATTGACCCCTGTCTGACTGACCCACTGGCTGCCTGAATACTGGTCAGAGACCCATGTCCCACTGTGCTGGAGCATCAGAAAGGCTTGAGGGACAGAGCATGGTGAATTGAGCTAACCTTGGCAAAGATACAGTGTGATCATTCTGTTCATCTGTCTAGCTTCCTGCCACATACCAGCATGGCCTCTGTCCACCACTATTTATTGCTCCAGCCCTGCTGACTGTGCGCTCTACCCCAGCTTCCCGGGTGCCGATGGCTGGCGGAGCAGGGAGAGACATTCCAGTTAAAAATAGAGCTATAGAGGGATCAAAAACACCAGAACTTCCCTGTCTCGAGACTGTGCTTGGCAAAGGGGCTCAGCAGCAGGGAACATAAGGCTTCTGGAAGCACTTAGGGCTTACAAGTCAGGTGAGAAAAAACGATTCTAATACAGTTTGTTTTCTTAAGGCTCCCTAGGTAATGAGTTTTCTTTAGCTGGCAAGACTTCTCGCCCCCACCCTGTCTCCAAAATACCTCCTCTCCTAAATTTCAGAATATTGAAAGATGATTGCTTACTGCACACAGAAAACACTGCAGCCCGGAGATGCACATCAGTTAGCCAGGGCCACACAGAAGAAACAAAATAGAATTAACCATGGACTATTTGACCCTGACACTCAGCAAAGGTTAAGTAACATATCCCGTGAAGGTGCTTTAAGAACTATCAAGGGCTGTTATGTGCTAGTGGACAAGCATGGTCCTCAGGCTGGTGGCCCAGCCCATGTGAGACTCCATCTCCATCTTTGCATTGTGGTTTCAGCCACAAAGCATCTTCAGTGGGGGCAACAGCTTACAAGCCCATCTTAGGCTGGAGTGGCCACATTCTCCTTATCTCCTGTTCTGTATCCCTGCACCAGGAGATTTTTTATGCAAACCGAGATCTCAAATACACTGTGAAGCTGAGGACAACCTTAAACTTTTTGCTTCCTCTCCCCCAAGTGCTGAGATTTACTTACACCCACCAAGAGGCTCAGTTGTATCTGGCACTGGGAATTGAACCCGGGGCGTTGTGGATGCTAGGCAAGCACCCAAGCATCTGAGCAACACATCTGTAGCCCATATATTCTTGGTTTTAAGAAAGACTTCAGCATCTCTGTCTCCTTTTAGACATTCCCAAGACCGTCAACATCCTTGGATAAAAATCTTTTTCCCTTTTTCCTTCTGGTTCATAAAGTACTTAGCACTGGGACTGACATGTAGAATGTGCCCATCAGAGCTTCGGTCCTTCGTTCCTTTCTCATCCAGCCCTACCTGCCAGGGTAGGACCTGGGCACCTGTTCCGACAGTCACCAACACCCTAACTCATCCTGTGGACCCCTTGGTAGCAACCCCAAACTCCACATCTTGGGCCTGGATCTTGTTTGTTATAGCTTTTCTGCCACCATGTAAGCCTGGCTCTGCCAACTACCTTTGAGACCACACTTGTATGAAAGTCTGACATACTGGGCAGTGGTGATGTACAACTTTAACCCCTGTACTCAGGAAGTAGAAGCAGGAGGATCTCTGAGTTCAAGGCCAGTCTGACCTACACAGTGAGTTCCAGGAGAGTCAGGGTTACACAGGGAAACCCTGCCTCAAAAAACTAAAAAACAAAACCCAAAACAAACAAACAAACAAACAAACAAAAAAGATCTGATTCAGCAAGGCCTGAGAAAAATCACCTGTGGTGTTTTTTTTTTTTTTCCAAGACTGGGGGATTTTCTGAGAACTGAGGAGCCTATGTCTAGACTGTGTGGAACTTCCTGGACACTGTTGCCATGCTGAGTAATAGTTTGGAGGCTGCTGACCATAGTAGAACCTTTGTGTATGGGCCAGAGGAAGGGCCTGCTACCTCCCTGGCTCTTTCTCGCTTCTCTACCCTCTCAGTTGTTCCAAACTCCAAGTGCCTAACAGTCTCTGGGCCACAGTTTGGGGCAGCAAGGCATGATGGGAAGCCCGATAGTGCATGGCAACGAGAGGGGGCTGCCTGAGGGTGAAGGGACTTTTGCTCTCAGCCAATAAAAAGGTTCCTTGCTCTTTAGAACACTGAGTCCAGAGCTTCATAGGCAATAAAAGATGCTTGCTTCTTTGGTCCTCCAGAAAGGAGGTGCTGTCTCCATGAAGAGTAGCCAACCGTTACAAAGCTGCTTTACCATCACTTGGGAAGGCTCAGTAGAGAGTCTTGGGGCGTTCATTCTCTTTGTTCCTAACTCTTCCGTTTATCCCACTGTTTCCTTTATTGCTATCCTAGGATGATGGAGAGGCTACTGGACCAGACTAGGCAGGTCCATTTATCCTGCCTGCCTCTGTGAGAGGCTCTGTCCTCAGAGCTGTGGGTGGCACACTGCGTGATTCTTCCCTATTCTAGAGGAGAAAATTGGACTGAAGCTGCAGAGTAACTTTCTGTTAAGTGAGTAAGTGTGGGTGTGAGAGCCGCCTGGGTTCTGGTGTACCAGCTTTTCCCACACCCCAGTCTCCACTAGCCCTACTCCTTCACTAGAGGGTGTGTCTCAGGCTCTGAGTGTAACAGTGAATAAGGTAGAATGGTTGCCCCCTTCCAGAATATTCCTGTGAGAGAAAGCAGCAACAAAGATACAGATAGATCAACAACAACGTGATTTGTTAAGGGATGTGACAGAGGCAAAGCCTGTCACCTTTCTATGAGGGTTTGGAAAGATATCTCCGAAGAGGGAGTATCGGTTAAATCTCAGGCAGGGAGAGGAGGTGTCCTGCACAAAAGCACAAACAGCAACGGGATGAGAGACAGCAGAGGTAAGTGAGCAGGGATAGTTTGAGCACCAGAGTCAGGTGGGAGGTAAGGGGTAGGTCAGAGTTAGTCTGGGGC